GTCCTCCACAACTAGACTGAAGAACAAAAGGACAGCAACTTGTCTGTTCCTCTTCCCCCAATTCCCCAATAAAAATCTTTAAAAAACAAAAAAAAGATGTTATCTAGTACAAAAAGACAAAGAACAGGCCCACTGAAAAGACACAGATTAATTTAATAAGGAAGCTCAAGAGATGTGACTTCCCACCATGGCCCACCTTAGTTAGAAATTTTGATGTTCACACCATCCTCTGTGGTTATTTTCAGTCTCCAGAGCTTGTCAGGTTTAACATATAGCCCTTTTCCGCCCACAATACTTAATTCAAATTAGGCTAAGGCAGCATTCTAAGATTTTCTTCCTGAAGCAGGTTTCTCTGTCTGAATCTCTTGGGCAGCAAAGGTGGGGAGAGCCAAAGGTTCTTTGTGAGGCTTGTTTCTTAATAAACAGCTTAAAAAGCAATATCCCAAAAGGGCAGCTTCTGGGTGGCAAAATTTTGGGTCCCCTTCAGTGACTTATTCACATAGGTGACAAGGGAGCTGACTGGAAACGTGGAGTATCAGGCCCACCTCAGACCGGCTGAATGAGCATCTCTGTACTTTAACAAGCTCTCCTGGTGATTCTGAGGAAGTTACACTGACCGTCTCCAAGTTCCTCATTTCCGGCTGAAGAAATTAAAAGAAGAAGACAGTGCTGTGACTGAGGTGACACAGATTCTCCCCAAACCTAGGTGTAGCCCAATTCCAGAGACCCCTACACCACCCTGGGAAATCTAGTGTCGGTTCACTTTCGGGTTACATTCTGACAAGGAGAAAATTCTGAGATGTCCTAAATTAAATTACAGCAGGCCAGAGAATGGAAGGAAGAGACAAGAAGAGGTTAATCAGTTAACAACTACAGGGCAAAAACCCAACCAGACTGCTTGCATTTCTGTGCATGTGTTGGAACTTGGAATTAACTTCCAGGTGAATTAACTTCAGCCATTATCCAAAAGAGACTAGCCTGGTGCCACTGAACCCCAGGAACCATCACATCCTGTATATGCAAGAATTATGTGTGAACTTTCCGGACAGTTGCCCATAGCTAATCCAAAGGAGCAGACACTCCTTCCTTTCTGCAGACTCTGCACCCATCCCAAAACTAGGTCTGCTTTCCTTTCTCCCAAACCCATGATCTGAAGCCAATGTAAATGCTTTCAAAACAACTTACGTCTTTCTCCCTACCACTTACTCGAGGTATAAAAAAAAAGCCCGTCAACCCCGGACAATGGATATGGTGCCTTTTCCACCTGGTACTGCTGCTGGTGCCCCAGGACCTGGTCCTTTTCCTTGCTAGCAATATGGCCCAATAAACCCTTCCTTTTAAAAAGACTTTCAGGGCGGCCGGGTGGCAGCTCAGTTGATTAGAGAACATGCTCTGACCAGCAAGGTTGCCGGTTCGATTCCCACATGGGATAGTGAGCTGCACCCTCCACAACTGAGTGAAGGACAACGACTTGACTTGGAGCTGATAGGTCCTGGAAAAAACACACTGTTACCCAATATAAATTTTTTTAAAAAGAAATTGTTTAATGAAAAAATTAAAATAAATAAATAAATGAAAAGACTTTCAGCTCTGGAAGTTAAGTTTTTTTGTTTAACAACTCCCATGAAGTGAATAAGAGTGTCTGTCTCATCAAAGGCTTGCCAGCGTTGCTATGGGTTCCTTTTTTGTTTTTGCTTAATTTGGTGATTCTCCATGTTTTAAACACGCTGTGTGGAACCACCAAAAAAGGGTGACTAGTAAAAAATTGCAAAGGTGCACAAAACCTCTTCCATATCAATATCACCAGCAACATTTGCATTTAGTGAGTTAAGATTAACTGTATGTCAGGTTTTTTAAATGCTTGCAGGAGCATTTCTTTTTCATCTTCCCAGGTTAATTCAGGTGCCAGTATCTATATTGGAAACTGAGTCATCTGAAGGGTTCAGATGGCCCAGGCATTACAAAGCCTGCTTCCCAGGGGTCTGATAGGAAAGATATCACCCAGGAATGTTCCTCCTTGAACCAGGCCCTAAATATGGTCGAGCTCTGGGTCCAGCACGGAGTTGGTGCATCCAGTAGATGGCAGTGTCTCACAGTACAAGGCCTGGTGAGGCGTGCTGACCAGGTGGAACTGAGAAAACCAGCTCCTGGACCCTCTCCTACAAATACACCTAGCCCTCCCTGGGGTAAAAAAGAACAGATTTCCTGTGTGGGCCCCATCAGCCCTGCCCAGGGTACGAAGGGGACTTGGAGATCCTGCATCAACAGGACATGAAGGGCCTTTAATCCATCATCTTGTCCAGTGCTACCCAAAGTGTGTCTAAGGATCAATAGCATCACCTGGGAACTCATTAAAAATGCAGATTCTTAGGCCCCGCCCTCGAATACTTCAGTCAGAAACTTGAGGGGAAGGGGAAGCAGCAATCTGTGTTTTCACAAGCCCTCAAGGTGATTCTGATGCATTTGGAAGTTATAGAAGTTTCTAAGCGTCTCTAACTTCCTCATTTTAAAAACGGGGAAATTGAGGCCACACAGAGGAGGGTAACTTATCACACAGCCAGGCAGTGGCAGAAACAATACTAGAAACCAGATTCCCAGTGTCTTTCCACCTTAGCCTTCAAGTAGCTTCTTTCTTGTCTTCATGCATACATTCAGCCTGTCATTACACACTTTGGGCTGCAGTGGAGGGCCAGGCTTTGGGGCAGCACACTTTTCTTCATGGTGGGGCTTCCTCAAGGCCAGGGATCCAGGATTCAGTATCATGGAAGCATTTGCTGGATTTTTGCCTGCTCAACCCTGGTGTTCAATTCCAGAGCAGACAAAAGTTTGATGTGGGTTGCAGATGATCTCCGTTCCCCAGCTACCTACCGTCTCCTTTTCCTCTTGGCACCACAGGCTCTCTGACCCATTCCTTGCTGTCAGTTACTTGCTCTTGGGAGAGGCACAGGAGCTGAAAACTATCACTATGCCCTCTCCCCAAGGGGCTAATTATGAAATTAAAGGCCCCCTCAGAGTGGGGTTTGCCCTGAAGGGACATGGGCAAGTCTGGAGCCCTTTCTCAAGCTGGACACTATTCATATTTAATCTGTGTTCTGTGCACTGTCAGATGCTTTGCAGAATTCTTGACTTGTACCCACTAGATGTCAATAGAATCCCCTCTGAGTTATGACATCTTCAGACATTGCCAAATGTCTGCTCTGGGTAGGATTGCCAGGTAAAATAGAAAATGTCTGGTTAAATTTCAATCTCAAATAAACCACAAATACATTTTTAGTATATGCATGTCTCAAATATTGCCATCTTATATTTTTACTTGCTGAATCTGGCCAACTTTATTTTGGGTACAAAATCTCCCTTCTTGAGAATCACTGGCCCAGATCTATCTTTTGGGGTCTGGAGTGTGGGATCAATAAGTGCAAAGATCTGATGAGGTCATCAAAGGCCATTAGCCTAGGAGGGCAGTAACTTTATCATACTCATTTTTGTATTCCTAGAAAAAAAAAGTAGCTTCCCATTTAATATTCTACCTGATAACAGGAATGAAAACACTTTGAACTGGGTCAAGTACGGTGCCTGAGTATTCGCTGAGCCCAGGACTGGGCATTAGGGACCCACTCCCCGCCCTCAGGGAGCTCATGGTCTAGCAAACATAGACAGCAAATGGTGTTTGGTTCGATCCACATACCATTTTTTAAAGATTGGACTTTGTGGTCAACATTTTAAAATTGGAAGCCATCACATAAAAGTCAGGATTTCTAGTATCTCCTGGAAAATGTGGCACATCTTCCAAATGCATGGCACATCTGGCATTGGGCCGGCATTCCCAATGGCAAGGTTTGGCTAAAGCTGAGAGATGCCCCTTTGGCTGGGTCATGTGTTCCCCCATTTCTCACAGTCCCCACCACTCCCTGTGGTCCCATACCAGCATCCTTCCCCTATGTATGTCGTCTGCCTGGCACCTGTAGGCATTTGGGTTTCAAAACTCTGGTCTGGTGGGAAAGAGCATTGGAATAGAATGTCCTTTCATATGATCTATGTAAGGCTGGTGTATTATCCTTATTTATTTATTTATTTATTTATTTATTTATTTATTTATTAATTTATTTATTTATTTATTGGAGAACAGTGTGTTTTTCCAGGACCCATCAGCTCCAAGTCAAGTAGTTGCTTCAATCTAATTGTGGAGGGCGCAGCTCAGTGGTCCATGCAGGGATCGAAACAGCAACCTTGGTATTATGAGCACTTCACTCTAACCAAACTGAGCTAAGCGGCTGCCCTATTACCCCCATTTTACAGATGAAGAAATTAAGGTTTAGGGAGCTTAAGTGAATTGCTCAAGGGTATTACAACTAGGCAGGATTAGAACCTAAGTCCCTTGACTCCAACGCCTATACCCAAGCCCCACTCTCAGAGTTCCTTATGAGAAATAGCTCAACTGCAGGGGCAAGAACTATGTGGCACCAGAGACCTGGAGGGGAAGTGGTGACGGGGACGGAAGGCCAGGCCTCCTCAAGCTCACCCATCTGTGATGTGAGAAAGAGCAAAGCCACAGAGGGCTGATTTGGGGGCAACAGCTAACAGGAGCTCTGACTGGGACCCAGGGCCAGGTCTTCAACACACAACCATCAGGATTCCTTAACGCCCAGCAGGAGGGAGCTCAGCCACAGATAACTGTGAGTAGAGTTTTGGTTGTTTTATTTTGGGATTCTTCCTCATTGCAGAAAACTTGTGTTCTTACCTTCCCCCTTGCCTCCTGAGATGTAAGAAGATAGATGGGCCTGCCTGGGGGTGGGGGATTGATTGATGTCATATGAAGACTCCTAAGGTGTCTGAGGACCAGCCACAGGAAGATTTAGAGCAGGTGTGGTCCTTGCCCTTGGACATGACAAGAATCGTGTCTCCCAAGATCAGAACAGAAGGTGATAATCACCAATGCGTAGGTGCCAGGCACCTACTGTGTGCCAGGCACTGCCCTATGGGCTTTTCATGGTTTAGTTTACTGAATCTTCACAACACCTGTGTATAGTAAGTACTATTATTATTCTCCACTTTACAGAGGGTGATAGGCAGCTTACCTAACATCACAAGGACATCAAATGACAGTGCTGCGTTCAAACTTAGGCACTCTGACTCCACGGCCCACTTTTGAACCACTAGACACTCCTGCCTTACGAGGTACAGGCTTAAATAGCAGATGGTGGGCCAGGAAAGGACCCAAAAAAACTAGGGCTGGGAGAGGGCTTAGAGGTTATCTGGTGAGTCCAAGGGTCTCATGGGACAGATGGAGGAACAGAGGCACAGAAAGAAACAGCTTGCTGGATTGGGGCTATTCAGAAGTGTAGTGTAGTCTAGCACACACTAGACCCAGGAGGCCTGGGGTCTGCTTCTGTGGAGGTCCCACTCAGTGGAACATCAGTGTTTATGAGTGTGCCTTGCGGCCAGTGCCCCCGGGGTGAATCCCAGCCCTGACTCTGAAACTCTACGGCCTCAGGCAAATTAGTCCACTTCTCTCCCACTTAGCTGCTGCTTCTGAGAAATTTAGCCTGAGACCATCATTCATAGGCCTGTGGTGAGGGTTGATTGGGTGATGCTGGTGCTGGGATGGGGACCTGCCCTGGGCTCAGAATGTCTGTAGTGGAGATTCTGATCTTCACCCCATATGTTCTTGCTGTGGGTTAGAGATGAGGGTAAATGAGGTTCTGGCTGTTTTTGTTTTTCCTGGAATGGATAGCATGTAGATACCTTGAGGGTATGGAGGCCAGGGCTGAGGCAGAGGAGGGGCTGGGGAGGAATTTGGGGAGGCCCTGGGAGGTGGTGCCCCAAGGACCCTGTCCTCAGCTCTGTAACCACCTCGTAGCTCTCCTGTAGGTGGCCCCTGGCCTGCCTGAGGCCCCAGCATCAATTTCTATCAATGAAGCACATCCTTTACTCTTTGGCCTGTTAAGGCCATGAAGGCAGTGAAGGTACGCAAACGGGTAGCCCAGCTCGGCTGAGCACAGCCTTGCAGCGCCTGTCTCTCCTCTTCCCCCCTCGTTTTGCGGTGCCTATTAATCTTACCACCTGCTCTCGGATATGCACAAACTGTTCTTTTATTCACTTTGATTGCAACATGTTCAGTGGGCCTTCATCCTACCAGGCTGGTTAGTAATTGAATCTCAGTGTGCACTGAGCTTCCCTCGCCCCCACCTGTCCTTCCAGATGGAACACTGACTCAGAGGGTCACAAACAGAGTGAGGGAGGCCCCCTGGCCTTTGTGCCAACCTGGCTCCTCTTATGATGGACGCTCATTGTCCAAAGGGGCTTGGTCCCCTGGAGTCCAGCCCGGTACACTTCCCTGGCTTGCCTGGAGTCCGGATTCTTGGCCAACACTCAAATCCATTGATTCAGCCTCCAGGGTGTGCCACCCAGCAACGTTCCCCAGAGGGGTGTTCCATCTCCCCAAGGCACTTCCAGGGAGCAGAGCCCAAATCCCCAACACTCAAGGGACCCAGAACCTCTAGTCCCTTCCCCATCTGGGGCCATCTCTCCTCTCTCCCTGCTTTTGGATCACAGATGCAGGTCCTTCTCCCCACACCCACCTGGGACACCAGCTTAATCTTCGTGCTGAGCTCAGGTTTTCACAAAAGACAGGAAGAAAAGCTATCTTCGGATGGCTTCTGCTTGCTACCCCACTCCTGCAAAAAGTCCCTGAGCCAGGAGATGCAGAGAGTGCTCTTTGAAGGGACACTGGCAGCCCTACCTTACAGAGAAAGAAAACCAAGGCTCAAAGGCAATGGTGAGTTGCTCAAGGTCACACGGCCAAGAAATTGTGAAACTAGTGGTGAGTCCAGCTCCGTGGGCTCCAAAGCTTGTGCTATCAATTGCTGAATCCTGTGGAAAACCTAACTTCCCTCACCAATTAGTCAGGTGACCTTGGGTGAGTGACATCACCTTTCTAAACCGCAGTAGCTCCAACTCTAAAAATGAAGCCATAACAGCATCACAAACCTACCTAAAAGGGGTGCTTCTTTATTTTCTGAAGTTAACATTTCTCGAACACTCACTACAGGCTAGAGCTCTACTATCCCTGAGACCTTGCCTGGTTCAGTCCTCACAGTGGCCTATGAGGGAGATGTTATCATCACTCCCCTTTGAAAGGTGCCAAACTGAAGCTCACAGAAGCATAAGACCTTGCAAAAGGTCACACAGCTGGTGGTACATGGCAAAGCCAAGACTCAAACCCAGGTGTGCCTGAATCCAGAACCATGTTATATTGTGAGAATCAAATAACAGAATGGGTGGGACGGGTGTGGAAAGTGTCTCGTATGTGCTGAGGTGCAATGCGGGCTCCAGGAACAGTCAGCCCTCTCCCAGCAGAGCTCAGGAACAGATAAACACTTCCTCTTCCCTCCATCTCCTGGGGGAGGAAAGGTCCACAGAGCACGAGATGTGTCCTTCCGCCACCCTCATGCCACGAAGACCCCAAATGCCAAGGAAAGAAAATGGCAGCAAGGGCAGATCAATGGGGTAGATCAGAAAGGAAGGAGCCCCCAGTATCATTAGAGCCAGGCACGGGAGGGATCCTATCCAAATGGGGGAGATGTTGGTGAGAACTTGGGGCACAAGTAGGTTGGGTTGGGTGTTCTGTGGGTTTTGCTGTTTCCACGCTCCCTGACCTGCTCCCACCCCTACAGGGGAGGCCCCCAATCTTCCGCTCACATTACAAGTTAGAGGTATCCCCTTCCACCAAAGCCCTGCCTCCTCTCCCTGGGGGTTGGGGCCACCCCCAGAGTTCCTCTCTGAGAACCACAGCTGCGTTCACTATGTTGCTTCTGCCAGAATTCAATGAGTACATCTTCTGTGTACCTCAATGAATCTCTTTGGGCCTTGGGGAATCAGATGGAGCTGAAGGCAGGGATGGGGGTCTGCGGAAGATCAAGTGTGAACAAGATGCTTCTCTAGTCCTCACACCAGGCCCATCTTAACAATACTTGACAGGTGAGACCACCGAGGCTCAGGCAAACAGGTAAATGACAGAGACAAGAGTCAAGACCAGGTCTGCCTTTCCACTACTTTCCACCAGCTTTTTCCAACAGAGAGAAAGGTATTCCAGAAGGTTCATATCATGAGAAGATCATGGCACCTGCTTCCATTTTTTAAAAATTAGTATATAATTATTTTACTATTTAAAAGATGTTTTTCCGGTTCAATTCCCAGCCCGAGCTGAGCTGCCAACAGGTGGCAGGATGGCTCAGCTAAAAAAAAAAAAATTTTTTTTTCTCAGTGAGAGCTTTTTAGGAGAAATGAAAGAATCGAAAAGCAGCAGTTAGGGTAGTATGCTAAGTGAAATAAGTCAGACAAAGCTAAATACCATATGATTTCACTTCTATGTGAAATCTGAAAAAAACAAAGCAAATAAAACAAAAGAGAAACAGACCCATGGATGTAGAGAACAAACTCATGGTTGCCGAAGGGGAGGAGAGGTTAGAAGATGGATGAAATACAAATAAGTATATTTATGTTAAGGGGGAAAAAATTATATATTTTAAAAAACTATTGCAATGAGCTATTGCATGCCCACTTAAGGTTAGTAATCCATTAAACTCTATGTATTGAATGACTGCTGTGTACGAAGGTGGGATGATAGGTTTTGAGGGTATGGAGATGACAAGTCCCCCATCTGAGAAGGAGAAAAAAACAAACCCACAAAGCAGCAGTTAGTGGTGATCAAAGCAAAGATGATCTCATGACTCCCAACCACTGGAGTAGCTTTGGCTGAGATATGGTCTTATTCTTAATCTTATATTGTTTATACCCTTAATTAACTAATAATGAAAGACAGGAAGCAAAAGGAACTCTGCCACCTACCCCCATTTGCTCCTCACAACAGCCGGGGCAGAGACACTTTCATTATTCCCATTTTATAGATGAGGACACTGAGGCTCAGGCAGGTGAGTAATTTGCCCAAGAGAACACAGATTTCACAAGGGGCAGAATCAGAACTCACAACTGGGACTCAGGGCTGCCTCTTAAACCTGCCTATGTGTGTCCTTCTTATTCTCGGTTGATCCTTCCCTGTTAACCACCTCTTCACAGAAGCAGGAGATAAAAATCCAGGTTACCTTGAAAGTTAGTGTACTGATGGGTCTTACCCAAATCCCAGGCCAGGAATGGTAAGATGCTTTCCTCTTCACAGCCCCAGGACCCAAAGCCAAACAGATCCACAGATGCACATGAATTCATTCTATTATAAAGGGGTAGATGGAGCGTGCATGAGCACCATCAGCTCCTAGATATTGGCCCGTCTCTGGCCTCTCCGCATCTCTCCGTGGTCTGAGTGCCCACCCCAGGTTTAATCATCAGCCTCTGTCCAGCTGTCTCAGTGACCCTCCAGCCACTTTGTCACCACTCACAGATCTTAGTGGCCCAAAGCCTTATGAGTCAGCCTCTGTGCTGGTGATAGTTTTCCTCCATTATAAAATGGAAATAACACCAGTCCCCTTGTTGACTTGTTGTGAAGAATATATGAGTTATCGTGTCAAGTGTGTAAAGTCGTGTCTGGATGCAGTATATGGTAAGCTCTCACTCAGTATTACTTGCTATTTTCGTCATGATCATCAGTGTGTTTCAAAAGCTGAGTCTCTAGGGCCTTTCACATCATTGCCCCATCGCTCTCACCTCAGTTCCTGGAACC